CTGCGCAAACGCCTCCGCCAACCACCCTCAAAGATATCGAGCATAAGGTCCATGAATTTCAGGTCACGTCAGGCCAGACGGCTGTGTCTATACAGAATTCACTGCGCTCCATCCTTGGTGAATACTTTCCACCGGATACAAAAGGCGGTCACCAGTTCCAGTTTTCTCTCCTCCCAGAATTTGATGAACTCTGGAAACCAATCTTCCGAGGAGGAGAGCCAGGCACCTCACAGCGGAATGACGCCGCTAGCACAAATATCTTGGCCATTGGCTCCCAAACAGGTGTCAAAAAAGAGTATTCATTGGAAGTTATTGGCAGATTAGAAAAGGTTGGCAGGAAGTCTTGCGAAATTGTCAAAACCGGCAGAGTTGACTTCAGGTATGTGATATTGGTCTGTCTCTATCTCCTTCAAGCTCCTTTTGCTCACTACGCTTTCTTTTGGCTTCATTTTTAGATATCTGCTCGCCAATGCGATGCAAGCCTTTACTGCTCAGAGACTGGCCAATCAAACCTCTGACAATCCATTTACCAACTCGTTCTTGCTGGCCACTCTTATTGTTCCTCATCTCGAGACATATTTGGCACTGCATACTGATGTGCGGCATCTGCTTCTCATCTACCCACCGGAGCATTTGGCGACTGTCTTGGCATTACAACGACTTGTTGGGGTTGATGTCATGAAAGTGGCACAAATTGTCGATGCGGAGAGCAAGGAAGACTCGCCATTCACGAATATTCGCGGTGCATCAATCAATAATAACAAGCCTGAGGGCAAGCCCACGCGTTCTTTCTCTCCCAGGTCTTCGTCCGAAATCGATATATCAAAAGCCAATTATCTTTTAACCTCTACCGCTTCTGAAAAGGACATTGCTACCTTTGTTTCAACAGTATGGAACATAAAGATTGAACCTCCGTTGGCACCAAACTCGGAGCAGTTTACAGACAAACCATCAAAGAAGAAGAGACCCCCGCCGCTCAGTTTACGCAAAGACCCTCTTCTTTCATTACCCAAGCTTGCTAGTGAAAGCCCAGTGTCACCAACGTCAATCGCTTTGCCACCCGCGCCTCCAGTACCTCTTGAGCCTGCTTCGCCTACAGCGTCGCTACGTGCACCTTCGCTTGCTGAAACATTCAAGGCACTGAAGTCGGCGAAGAATAAGTTAAGCCAGGGAAGGTTGTGGCCGAAAAATGATCAACAGGTAGAAGTTGAATCCCTGGCTGACTATGACTTCGGTGGCGACAGCGATGATGACATGTATGAGCGCAGGCTGATGCCAGTTTTCATGCAAAAGCACCCGGTGCGCAAGCCGAACAGCCGCAAAGCGCTTAAGTTTTTGGGACTAGCATAGTCCTGTGCCCATAATCATGGGGGCGAAGGGAGCGTTGACATACTTGGGTTTCTGTTTACAACGTGGGCGATGCTCCTGCGCTTTAACTCCTTCGCCGCGTGATCTCTTTGATTTTTTCCCTTTCATTTTTTAAACTTTTATTTTCCTCCTTTTTTAGAGGATAAGACTATTTCCTTTCAAGACGTGTTAGATTTAGTGTGAAGCGCATGTACATTAAATATGACTGGTTTAAACGAAGCATCAGGCAGGCGATATTATCTATAGATACATACACATCGAAAAGACGGCAAGCAAGAGCTCTACATCTAAGACTTGCTTCAAGCAATAAATAGTATTAGAAAATGATCGTCTACTCAGTTTAAATTCGTAATCCATCACTAGATGCACATCTTTGCATTGGCTCGTTCCTCTTGTAATCCCATGAACTTCACCTTAATCCGGTTAAAGTACTAAAGCCTGGGCAAGACATGCGAGGAGCCAAATCGAGTTGTACCATGGGCGATTAGGCAGACATTGGTCCGTTCATGAAATGCTCGTTGCCTGGGGACAAGATAACGGGCATCACCGTCTAGCCTCGCAACAGAGAAACAAAACTACAACACTCATCATGACAGGTCGGTACAAAGATCACGTTTCCCTGTATTAATGCCCATTCTCGCACACGAGTACAAAAAAAAAAGGGTGAAAGCTCCCCAGTGCCCCCTAAAGCAACCTTTAAAAACAGCAAAACAGAATAATAAGCGAAGAAATAAGAAAAAAAAGAAGACACGGTGGTTGCGTTTCGCCTGGTAAAATAAAATGACCCCTGTGTCTACATGTTTTCGTTACAAAGGGGGAAACGTAGCATGAGCCTCGTAACTCTCCTTATCCTGTTTCCCGGTTCAGCCGTTCCTGTCTCATCTGAATCGGATCGTCTCAATGCATAGCGGAGTGTTTGGTCTTGCGGTCGGTCGTAGAAGTAGAGAGATGGAGCAAAAAATCCAAATGGACATGATTCAGTCTATGCGCAGAAGAGAGCAGAAAAAAACGGGAATGGAAAAAGTCGTAAATGTAGCCTGTCCAGTCATTTCTCTGGCATCGCACTGCTCCTCACGTACTCCGTCGCCGACCCCTGTCTTTGAGCATTACAGCTACTTAGGTATTTAGCAGCAGCTGTTGCTTGAAGCAGAGCCAACGCCCTGGCCCTGGCCAACTTGCACGCTGGGTTTGGTGTTGTTGGCTGTCGTTGTGCCCATGCGCTCTTTGATCTGTCGGGCCATGGTCAAGAATGCTTGCTCAACGTTGCTGGCGTTCTTGGCAGAGGTCTCAAGGAATGGGATGCCCAGGCTGTCGGCAAATTCCTGTTTGCAGGATTAGCAGTGAGATCTTGGCGCAGAGACGTCACGCTCTCACGAGCACATTGTATCAAGCCCATGTCAGGACTCGGGCCGTCCACACTCATTCACCGCTCGCGAAGCCAAATTTTAGTACTTACCTTGGCAACAGTGTACTCGACCACCTTCTTATCCGACATATCGCTCTTGTTGCCAACTAGGAGCTTGTTCACACCCTCGGTAGCATATCGGTCAATCTCCTGAAGCCACTGCTTGACATTGTTGAAAGAATCCATGTCGGTGACATCGTAGACAACGCAAATACCGTGAGCACCGCGGTAGTAGGAGGAGGTGATGGTTCGGAATCGCTCTTGGCCAGCAGTGTCCCACTGTGTTGATTGCGGTGGTTAGCTTCCCAGTTTGGTGGCGTCATTGATGAGCCAAATACAGGTAACAAACGCACAATTTGGAGCTTGACAGTCTTGCCATCGAGCTCTATCGTCCGGATTTTCTAATGACAGGTTAGTGATGGTTTCTCCGGGTTGACATGGAGGGCATATCCGCATACGAAGTCGACACCAATGGTGGAAATGTAGGACTCTGTGTAGGTATCGTCGGCGAATCGAAGTAGCAAGCAAGACTTGCCAACACCGGAATCACCGATGAGAAGCAGCTTGAAGAGGTAGTCGTATCTGATTCAGCCAGTTAGAATCCGCACACGCTTTGAACCTAGATTGCCGCAGCTAGTCTGGTCGTGTTTGTTCCGTGAGGTGGCGGCATCGTGTCAAGAAACTTTCTGGGATGTACTCTATCAAAATGCAGTCAGTCTCCGGGTCCTCTCAGGAGGTTGGCGCCTAGGAAGTAGGGACTTGGAGGCTCGGCGCGTACCACTCAGGGTTCATGGTGGCGGCGTTGAGGGTATTTAGAAGAAAAACGGTAGGAGTGTTGGACAATGTCGGTAGGCGACGGGAGGGGTTGCTGCTGCGATGGGGGAAAACGCTGTGGTGATGATGCGAGGAGATCAAAGAAACCAAGGGCTGGCTACGTGGGTGGGTGTGAGACGACGACTGGGTACGTCAGGGACGACGAGCACCAGCGAGAGGCGGCGGTGGGAGCCAGCTGATCGGTCACGTGTCAGGCGCCATTATGTTGGACTGGCTGGAGGGACTGTGGGTGTGCGAGTGTTGCCATAGAACGTTGGGCGGGACATGCAGCATCCCGAGCCGAATACAGTACGTACCTAGGTACATAGGGTATCCAAGCGACCTGATGTCAAGTCATGAGGCCCTTGGAGGTTCCAATCTACTTGAGTACAGATGCCTGGCCCTCGTCATGATGTGACAAGACGAGGCAGAAGGCCCTTTCCATGATTCGGCGTCCCAAGGCGACTAGCAGCGACATGTGACGCACTGACGACAAGGCTGCTGCTCCTCGAGTTGCTGCTACGGGCCTCGTGAGAGTTTGCCCCAGACGGAGGCCTGACCCTGACCCCGAGGATGGGAGGCATGAGAGGAAGTCTGAATTGCCAGGTATACATGTCGGTGTGCACACAGATGTGTACAGGACCCGGTGAGGCGACCAGGCACAGCGTCGCATCGGCATCGCGTCACATCATCTCGGCATCTAGATGGGCAGGTGTCAAAACGTCCAAATGTCCATCTACGTTGATACTCGGTCGTCAAGTCTGCATTTTACTGTCATTTGCTGTTTGATGGCAAACAGCTTTGCCCGACCGCGCCCAAGCACCACCCGGCATTCCAATGGGTTGATGTCACGCAAAGTACTCAAGTACCTACCTAGGTAGGTAGGTAGGTACCTAGGTACTTATAGGTACTTACCCAGTCCACGGTAATATCACCACTCTAGCTGCTGCAACCCGCTCATCCGGACCGGCCCCGCAGTGGCTCTCGGGGTTTTGGGGTTCAGATGGTCTTCAGGCAAGTTCTGCCTTGTCGACCTCATAAATTCGTAGCTCCAGTCCAAGTGACAACAGCCACCCACACAAGCATTGCTGCATGCCTTTATTCCATTCCATTTCTTTTCCTTCTACTTTTTTATTTTTCAACAACCGCCTTGCCTTGCGTCACCCAGATATGACTTGACCCAGACTAATTTTTGGTCGTCGTCACCAAGGCTGCGCGCAGTTGTGACGGTTCAGCTTCAACCAAAGTCCACCCATCCGCAACCTTCTGACGCAATACGTTCCTCCTCCTCCATCGACAAGCCGTGGAACCTCGACGCTGACACTGACCAAACCCGGGCGTTGTCAACTTCTCTATACATATCAACTCACGCGCATGCGGTCCCTGTCGTCGACAAAGCTGGTCTTGACCTCCAATGGCTGCGCCGTTGCGCAATGCAACACGATCTGCCGGTAGCCCGCCGACGCTCCGGACCTTGACCAGTCTGAGCACGTCTCCCTCCCTCGCAACGCCATCGATTCAACCTCCCGCACATCTCACACCCGTCAACTTACCGCCCGCGCCGCCATCTCTGATCTCGAACCCGGGGTGCCTCTCGCAAACACCTCCTGTATCCCAGCAGCCGCTGCCACAAACACACTTTGGCAGGACGACACCAAGGTTGTTGAGGGACGGCAAGGGCGAAGATCCCCAAGATCCGAACAAGACAAAGCTTGGCAGAAGTAAGCGTCGTACTATTCTATTCTATTGATACATGCACAAGCTCCCTCTCCCGTGGAAGACAACCCTGAGGGCCCGGCCCTGATCATCGACACTGTAGAAAGACCTTGATGGGTTAGGAAACCTTTGACGCTGACACAAACCAGCCTTAAGAGTACTCCAAGAACGATTGCCGACGTTGCTACAATCTCCACTGCCTCAGGAAATCCTAGCCCCAAACATCAATCTCCAGCTCTTCCCGACAACACACCCCCATCTCCCCACCGTCTCTGGAAAAGTTGCCTACAACGCAGCCCTTTGGACATCGCCAATTGCCTGGAACCGCGTCCCCATAATCGGCAACGTCAAGCTCGAAATCCTCGCAGAACGCATGACATCCGAGCCGCTAACATTTCTCCCCCGCCGCGCCGGCGCCATGCCAGAACAGCTCGTGGTTCGCTGGTGTGAGAAGCGACGGTCCAACGGAGAGACGCCGGAACCCGGCGGTGTCGCGAGGTCCCTGTGGCGCGGGCGCGGAGTCGACCCCAACAAGGCGTTTACGGGACTATTCATATTTGACTTTGATGCCGAGGGCAGGGTATTGACGCATACGATTGAACAGGCGCAGGAAGGTGGGAACTGGGAAAGGGGGATGGGCGCCAAGTTTGTAGGATTGACAGACTGGCTTCTGGGCGGCATGAGAAATGGTAATGACAACCCGATACCCATGTTTGAGAGTCTGAAGAAGACGACCACATAAGATGTAAAGGAGCACCGAGCGGGCCCTCTCGATCTGGTGGCCATTCTTTTTATTAGAGGGTGATGCTAAGAATGTGAAGCGCCCTCACTTCATGCCCATGTACATTAGTATTTCTGATTAATGAGTCTCCACACCATGTATGCTCTGAAATAATGAATATATCTAGTAAATCCGATATTCAAGACGGAACATGTGTGAAACTATGTGAAGTCGACCAAGAATATCATGTTTGCCCTAGGCCGCTATGAGCAAGTCTATCCTCTTGGCTATCCGTCTACTTTCTTCCTGAGCAAGATTCTGCCCCAAATCCCGACATGTTCCAACTTCATCTCGTCAAGGTTTGGAATCCTCTTCTCCTTCTCAGACACCCACGAGTCACGGCCAAGACCCAACCCCCTCCCCCGACAGGCGGCATTTCACAATATTCTGCCTTCCTAGTCGAACCGCGCCGCATAAAATACGACCAAGACAAAATTTAAAAACCAACAAAAGCTAAGCGTATTTACCCGCCAAGGACCCCAATTATCCCCACAAGAAAAAGCATCTCTGCCACTGGATATTCTTCCACCGTCGCCGCCTTTTGCTACAGCAAGAAGATCTGCGCTTGCATCCACTTCAAAATACGACCTCGCCCAAGTTCTCGCCCTCAAAGCCCATGGTAGCCAGCTTCTGCAACCTCTTCTTGTCCTTGGCCTTGTCATGGGCCTTCTTCTCCTCGGCCAGTTTCTTGACGAGCTCTACATCGGCGGGCTCGAAATTTGGTGGCGGGTCGTCGTCCTTGTCGAGGTCGATTTCGCCCAGGAGGAGCACATTCTCACCCCGGATGAGGAAGATGCCGTGGGCTATGTCGGCGTAGTAGCCCTCCGGGGCGGAGGGGTCGGTGCCGGGCTTCAGGGCGAATATCCTTTCGGTTGTTGACTGTAGAACCAAGTTTGCTGTTTTGTTTGCGGCGCGTGTTAAAAACGTCGTGAGGCGTTGGCGCATTCTGTACTGGCAAAGGGCATACCGAACTGATCCCAACTCCTCAATACGCCAATCAATTTCCTTCCGTCACGTAGGGCAACCATGAGCTTCTCTACGGCACCGCGTCAGCTCAAAACACCTTGCTAAAATGGAGTTGGCCAACGTCCCCGGTCATCTTGAGTAGACGTACTATCCGTTAGATCAAGAAGTTGAGCAGCTGTCGTGAACATCTGCGGGGGCAATTGAGGGGGGCCCTGTGCATGGCCCCGAGCTCCAGGAGGAGGGGCATCGGAGATCGTAAGGTTTTCCATTTCGTTCTTCTACCTCATGTATTCTGTTGGATGTTGTGTGGCGAGTAGGTTCTACCTGCGAGACAGTAATCCATATATTTACCTGGACTATTTGCGCTTCATGAGAGCATGGCGGAACGTTTTCGACTAAAGTAAGGGACAGGAGTTTTGGAAATAGCAGATTCACTAGCAGATTCGGGCTAGGAGTCGCGACTTTCCCCGTCGTTGTCCTCCGCGATGGTCTTATCGATAACTGTAGTCACGTGATAAAAGCGTTGATTGTTATTCGAAGGATCTTGGAACATGCAGGGAAGGCGCGGGGCACCATGGTTGGGAAGCCCATGACAAAAAAAAAGTCAATGGAGGGGCTGCATGGTGCCGGCCACGTTGGATGAATGTGGCGGAGTTGTAAAAGAAACCATGACGTCGTGACACCGCTAGAGCTCATCTTATGGGACAATCCGCGGTGAAGCACGCGCCAGTGATTAAATGATTGTGGCGCCAACTTTCAATTCGTAGATTGCATGGTTCCCGTCTCAATGCCTTGCGAGGCACATTGCGGGAAGACGAAGAGGCTTAACGCTACGTAAGGCGGCCTAGTGTACCAGGCAGTCACCGTCATTGAAGCAGGGCGGGCCCGCGTGAGAGATGCATGACTACAGGCGTAAAACTATTCCTAGTTTTACTCTCTTTGGTAGTTTTTGTATTTCTCTGAGAGAAGTTGGGCTGAGGTAGTGTAGCTTTGTATCCATTAGCACCTTGCCTATCCGACCCGGTCGGTGTCTTTCAACAAAAGTTATTCGACATGCATTCGATACGAAAATTTTGCATGTCCGGCCGATTCTTTTTCTTTTCATGCTGTCTCTCCCACTTTCTTTGTGTAAAGTATAAAAGTGGCATGAAGCCAAAAAAAAAAAAAACAAGAAAAAAGAAGTAAAACATATCTATCGTTTCTCCGTCCGCTAACGCCTTAGTATATATGCACGATATATATTCTCCCATCGATGATGCAGAATTAGAAGAAGAAATGCAGCCAGTCTTCACTTGCATTCGGACTGAGCATGGTGAATCTGAGAATGGTCTCACTCCCTGTGTTGGCCGCAGTACTCTGGTCAGCTATGACCCTTTTTCGACACTCCGCTAAGACCTGAGACAAGATGTTGCCTTGTCAAGAATATCCAGGCTCAGAGACACAGCGTTGTGTGTAGATATGTCGGTGGAGAAAATGCCTTGAACAGAATGCGCCCGAAAGGATTGGCTGCAAAGGGAGGTACGGTATGACATCTACAATTGGTTGATAGTAGAGCGCTGAAGCGCTTCCTGCAGCTCAGGCCGAGTTGCCAAGGCGTCAAGAGCCTGGGTATAGGTAAACCACTGACGCTCTCGTTTATGCCTCTCAGGCCAGTCTTCCACCTCGCTGAGGACGGTGGCCTGGAAAAATGAGTATCTTGATCTGTCCTTGGACGACTTTGGGGGTCGCTTTTCGTCGATGGTGCCCAGATCATAGTCAATTTGAATAGTAATTCCAGCCTCCTCCCAGGCTTCACGTGTAGCCGCCTCTTGGCAAGACTCGTCGGTCTCCCATCCCCCTTTTGGGAGAACCCATCCTTTGCGCCGCGTCGACTGTATAAGAAGAACGAAGTTTAGGTCGGGACTTAAGGGGACGACTCCTGCGACGAGTCGCTCGCCTTTTGAGTTGTACCCTACATTGCGGGTGAACAGAGCGTTAGCAAGTTGTCCTGTTGCACCTGCAAGACACGGAGTCACAGGTGACCAAGAACGAAAGTGCCTTGTAGGCAGAATAGCAGAAGCATCATGTGCATGTGTTCGGCAACTGTGAAACAGACCGCAGGAAAGGCTCGCTTGGATGGCAACCAAGACTCACTTTGCTTATTTCTTCCGGTTCGAGACTGCATCGACCGACCATCGGACGTCTCTGACCCAGGGCCAGACATGCTCTCAAGGTTGTCGACTTCGAATGCGTGATGGTTTGCGACACCTCTGGCTGCGTCCAATCCAAGTATGTGGTGCTGGCGGAAAGCGCTAAAAAAAAGGTACTGGCTGATGCGAACTGCAAATCTCACAGGGGTGATTGAGGCGCTGTGACCCCGTCGTTGAGGCTTGCGTCTTGCAGCAAAAGAAGAAGGATCAAAGCGAACTACCACACATCATGGCCTTGGTTGATCTGGGTGAATGTCGTACAGGGACCGGAGTGAAGAGAAGAGAAGAGAATGAGGAACAGAGGTGTGAACAGATCGCAGTGATTCGAGTTTGGAGGAGGGCAGAGAGGCAAATGCCCCAGGCTGCTTCGTTCCCGGGGGGCCGGAAGGAAGTACTAAGTCACTTGTTGATACTAGCGACTTTATTGGGGGTCCTTGGTGGTCCTGGTGGTCCCGGTGGCCCTGGTGGCCCTGTGGTCACTGGCGGTTCAAGCGGCCAGGTCAACTCTACAAGTCTGGGCTACCAGACCCGTGGTGTCCAAGTGGGTCAACTGGTCTGATGCCGAATCTGGCTCGAGTGGGTTGGAGGCGGCGCCGGTCAGGGCAAAGCTGGACACGATCCGATGGTCTGATGGCCGGCAGCCTTCTTGTCAAGCGGATGCTAACTTCTAAAGCTTAGGAATTGTTGTGCAGGCGGCTTTTCACCAAAAGTCTGGCCGTCGAGCTTCGGCGAAACTGGCCAAGTCCCGCCAGGAACACTGAAAGCAAAGTACTACTGCAACGCGGCAGCACAGGAGCACGGGAGCACAGAAGTACGGGGGTACGGGCAGCTAACAAGTGCCTCGAGTTCCCGGAGACCAACAGGTCCTGGCTTGGCCTGTCGGGACTCAATGCTCCAAGCAAAGCACCAGCAGTGCGAAGGCCGATCGATAAAGAAGAGGCGGCCTCGGCGCCAGGCCACTCGACACGGCGCAATTCCCGGCGATTCTACTAATTTCAAGTAGAGTTGGGATACTGGGCCCGTGAACAGAGATGATACGAGCAGTGCAGCAGTCCCTCCAAGTTCGACACTTGAGCAGAAAGCAAGCACTCCAGGACTTGAAGGCCGAAGAACGTCTCCGAAGAATGTCCACCTCAACGAGTACGATACCTAGGTAGGTACTAGGTACCCGGTGCGTCAGGTGCGGTGAAGCCAGGTAATACCTCAAACGCCGTGGAAGGTCGTGGGGATCGTCGTGGTTGAAGTGGTGCCGAGGGGGCTTCCGCCTTTGTGAGGCCGAAGCCAAGCAGCGAAATCCGACGCGGGATGTGCGGGACAAGGGGGGAAAACACCAGACGCAGTCAATGCCACTCGATAGACTCGAACGTAGCAAAACAGAAGGACCAGGTAGTCCCGTCGACCTCCGACGTTCTAACAGGGATGCTTGTAAAAGGTCAAGTCCTATTTTCACGCTTGCCGGGCCAACTTCAATGCTTAAGGCTGGTTGGCAACTGGTCAACTGGCGGGAGCAGAGGAACAAGCTGTAGTCACGAGGCCTGTTCCGCGGCTGACGAGTGTACAAGGCCTTTCTGATGTGGGTTTAACCTTGGCTTGAAGGGTTTACACATGTATGTAAAAAAGGGAGCTGCAGCTAGATGGAGAATAAAACAGCCTCGTGTAGTCGGGCAGGAAGGCAACACCACAAGTGGCAATCAACGAAAATGCAGACGCTCGGGTCTCGCTGGGCGATGTCTACTTGTAGTAATTGCTTCCTGCTCATTGATCTAGAGGAAATCTGACAACAGCCCTGGGCGGCCGTTGGGAGCC